AGCGAATAAAAGTGATGTCCCAGCGATCAAATCTTCGTCTCCTCAACTGCCCCCTGGGACTCGCATGTTCGCCTACATCCGGAATCATTTACCGCATTTGGGGCAATTGTGGACGAAGTACCTACATCGAAGAGGTCGCGAGATTATTCTGGACGCGAATGGCCGAACACGCAGTGGTGAGGAGGAAAGACGCTAGCTCTCAGGCCGCATACACACGCTACGGAACTCGCCATATTTATGGGTCTCATGAATAGACAATTTTCGCAAGCTGTAAACTGCTCGATTCATGGGCTTCAGGATCGCAGTCTACCAACAAGCGCATTGACTTGCCATTCCCATATTCTGTACTGAGAATTTGCCGGGGCAGGGGAATCAGTCACATGGGGAGAGCGTGGGCGACCCACAGTTTCAACGACAGCGAACCATCAATCATCGCATCAATGACGATCCCTAGCGTTAATCACGAGAACTGTTAATTGTAGTACGCATGTGGTTGCGTTGCCACTAAGGACTTTAACGACTGAGCACCCTGTTCATCTATCACCTTTATCTGCGATTGTATCGGACGATGGCTTCAAGCGAGAATCCGAAACGCCAGACCAACAAGCGTCTTGTTCAAGTGACCGCATTTTTCCCCTTTGGAATGGTGTGTCTGCTATTTATCTGTTTCACCGGAGGCCTTTGCAACGATAAAATCAATAAACCAGCAGCTTTGACAGTCAATATTATCACTCTCAGGTTGCTCAGGGAACAATTCAATCCATCCTACCACTGGAAAAATACTACAACACAGAGAGACCCGTATATTAGGAGGATGAAGTCAGCATTGTAATGGACATTCTGATTGGCTAAAAGAATATGCTCGGTATTTCGAAATAAGACAGAACGTACCACGGTCGGATAGGGGTTCCCTTCGCCATCGAAGAATTGTGAATCCCAGTAGGTCCATGATTGGAGGTTAGCATCAGCACCGTTCATTACAGCGTTGCATTCAATGGTGTTGATCGAGGCAGGATTACCATCCGGCTCGCAGATACCGAATTCCGTATAGAAACGGCCAACCTTCAGCTTCTCGGTTGTCTCTTTAACTGCGTTGAACATGCGAGGCAGTATGAACTACCAAGGCAAAGGTTTGCTCACGTGAGTTACTGCTTAGAGAGAAATTCTGTAATAATTATGGCAGCCAAATCGTTTTATCGGTCAACTTAGAATGATAATATTTTCGGTAGGAATAAATCGTACGATCTTCTAATAGTAATAGAAGTTGCTCTACTAACGTTCGTGATCCATACCTTTGCTTGGTTAACCAATAGGAATTGTCCTTATAGTTTTCTTGGTCTAAAGGCTTTCTTTGCTAATCAATAGGAGTTTCTCCTGGTCTTTTTTGTTCCTTTCGCACACTTTTAACCTGAATTTTTAGTTCAGTAAAACAATTGCGAGTGGCTTTAATTTATTTTCTACTGTGTATTTTTCATGCATAAAACGCCAATTAACTGCTCATCAATCAAGCATTCAACATTTAATTAAGAAACCGGTCAGACATTTGGGCTGGGAGACTTTGGCCATTAGGGGACCCTACGATATATTCCTATCGGATTTACTTCTGCATTTTGTTCTGTATGGTGGCAGAAAACAAGAACACCGATTGCTCTTTTGTGTTTGTTACCGCAAGAGTCAAATTAATTTACTTGCGCTCATGCGTCAAAAACTTGTCACATGCATAACAAAAAAGGAATGCCAGTATTGACTAGCTAAATTAAAGGAGGATACATATTTTCAAACGTTACCGACATTGATACAGACTTTTGTGGGCAGTTTAATTTATATTTAAGGAGTTGTCTTGCAAATGCAGTCTTTTTTTCGTGCGAAAGCAACCTAATTAAAGCGCCTTTGTGAAAGTTTGTTGAGCGAAGGACAATTTCCATGTCTTTGATAAATTGCTTATATTATCTTCTCTGTCAAGCATGACACGGTTGAAGTGAACGATCTGAGACGACTGATTTCTAATTTCCTTAGTAAATCAGTCTCCATGAAACCTGACAAGCGTAGCCTGAAAGTTGATATAAATAGATGGGCCGCCAAGACTGCGTGTATCATATAACCACTAGAAGGGGGCTGAGGCCTCTAGGATTTGACGTACATCTAGGACAAAATTATCTGCCTGTTTACGGAAAGTCACTGCTATGAGGACGGTAGTGTCCGTCGCGTTGCATTTTGCGTGTTTAGAACGCAAAGTCTGTGAGCTCGGTTCGCTTGGCGGCCATCCAGTTTGTAGAAATCCCTGTCTCCCCGAGCATGCCTGTCGCGGAGAAGATCCTCGAGGCGATAGGCAAACTGAAGAACTGTAGCTGCACACATCCGCATCAATGTACATTGGCTGCTCTTTTTAAGTTTAGGTCGCCAGTCTGATCAGTTGTGCCTGTTTAGTACGGGAATATCACCTGAATTAGAGGTTATATTCAAATTTAGGATTAGGAGTTGAGGCTAATGTTAGTGACTAGAGTTACGGGTTGGTGTTTAGGGCTAGAATTTGAAGATAGTTTTTGGGTTAGGTATTGAGCTCCTCTCATCTTTGTAAACCTCAATAATACCTTCATCGCGACCAGCACGAGAGATGGGTTTTAACGATACATTCTTCCTCCCCTCCCTTCAGTGTGATTAGTCCTAAGGTCCGCAAACAGTTCTCCAGGAACATTTGACAAGTGTTCGCATTTTTACTTCTGGTATTTTAAATTGCGTGCCAACACTTTTCCTATTTATTAGCGTATTTAAACAAGTCAATGGCGCAAACATAATGTTTTCACATTTGCTTTCCGAAAACAGATT